CTCCCAGGGCTGGGAGAAGCTCCCAGGAGACAGGGAAGCTCCATCTGCTGGACCTTTTTTGTGGTTTTCAATTTGGGGGCCACACCGAGAGCTGCTCAGGGGTGACTCCTGGCTCTGTGCTCAGGGACCACTCCTGACATTGCTCAGGGGACCACAGTTAACTCCTGGCTCTGTGCTCAGGGATCACTCCTGACGGTGCTCGGGGGACCACCTGGGACGCCAAGGATTGCATACAAGGCAAGCGCCCCCCACCCCCAAACCGCTACCCCTTACACCTCTGCGCTAAACCATCGCTCCAGCCCCATGCTGAACTTGGTTCACTGAGATTCTGCAGAAGTGCAAAAAAGACCTTGGTGCCCACCAAGATCCTGGGCTGAATTCTCCTCTAACGCCTCTCCGGAGCTCTGGGGTTTGTACACCGGAGCCCAGCTCAGGTGACGAGAGATGCATGAACCCACAGAGACATGCCTGAGCAACAGTCCCACAGGTGAGGGCAGGGACCGAGTCCTGCCCTCAGACCCTAGCGCCTCCCATGAACATCCTTCCCGGCTAAAAACAAGATCCCCACCAGGGGGCTGATGCGGAAGCTGCCCTGCCCCGCACGCACGCACCCAGCTCCTGAAATTCCCCACCGGTTTCTCTTGCTCCTTCTCGGGCTAAACAAACACTCTCCGCTCCATCCAGCCGGGCACTGCCTAAGCCCTGGCCATCCGCCTCCGCCACACACTTGGCCGTTTTCCCATCAAGGAGACACAACACACAGATGATAACAGCACAATCTAAATCAACCCCATGCACGCTCCACGGGTTCCACCACCTCCCTCCGCCCGGTTACTCCTGGTCCTACCCCACAGCCCGTGAGCAGGCCTGGGTGCTAAAATTAAACCAAGTGACCATAAACATCCCATAGGCACCTGATGAAGACGCCAGTGAGCTCGTCATCCAAACGGCTTTCAAAGAGGAAGAGGAGAGAAACCAAGACACTGGGGAAAGGGAAGAGAAAACCTCTGAGGGGTACTCCCAGCACCCTCCCCGCCCTCCCCCAGCTCTGGGCCTTGTTTTCCTTCGAGTTTTGGTTTGTTTTCTTGCAGGTGATTGATTTCCTGCTGGCTTCCCACCCTCAGCCTCACACCTGCCCCCGGAGACAAAGAGGGGTGAGAGTTTAAGAGGAGCCATTTTTTTTTCATTACAAGCGCCACTTTCCTTTTCTTTTCTTTGAGGAGATGGAGGGGTGGGGGGAATCATCCACACCCAGCTAGCTGTGCTCAGGGCTTACTCCTGACTCTGTGCTCAGGGATCACTCCTGGAGGAGCTGGGGGGCCTCTATGGTGCTGCAGTTGAACCCGGGTTGGCTGCGTGCCAGGCAGGCGCCCTGCCCTCCTCTTCCCATCATCCAGCTTCCTGAACACACTGGGTTAATCCACCGCGGGTCTATAGCACAGTAAGTTCCTGAGGGTGAAGTGCCAAGTGCTGAATTCGCATCGGACCCACCCCCAAAGTTCTAGCCAGACCATACTACTACTAACATGAGGGCTTCTGCCCTCCGCTGCAGAACTTGGGGGATTACATCACAATCCCCACCTGTGATGGTCTCTGTCAGCCCTGGGAGAGACAGAGAAGATTTGTGAAACAGAAAGCGAGCTGTCTGGTTTGGTTTTTTATTTGGGGCCACACTCGGCAGTTGTCTAGGGGTTATTCCTGGCTCGGCACTCAGGAATCACTCCCAGAGGTGCTCCAAGGATCATATGGGATGCCGGGGATTGAACCAGAGTCTGCCACATGCAAGGCAAACGCCCTCCCTGCTGTAGGACTGCTCCAGCCCCAGAAGCCGAACTGTTTCTACAAGGATTTGATCAAATCTGGGGAAAATGATAGACTTTCACTTTTATATTTCTGTACTCCTTGATTTTTTTTCTGACTTTTGGGTCACACCCGGCAATGCACAGGGGTGACTCCTGGCTCTGCACACAGGAATTCCTCCTGGCAGTGCTCAGGGGACCATATGGGATGCTGGGAATCGAACCCGGGTCGGCCGCGTGCAAGGCAAACGCCCTACCCGCTGTACTATCACTCCAGTCCTGTACTCCTTGATTAAAAAAAAAAGAAGAAGAACAAAACTCACTAACTTCTCTAATTGGCAGTGGAGGCGATAGTTTTTTGGTGTGAACTAAAATAGTTTGTATTGAAACTTCTTCAGAAAAATGTGAGGGAAGAGAAAAAAAAATATGTGTTCAAGGAAGAACCTGGGCTTGAAGGGCAAGCCGGAAAAAGGAATTAAACACACACACTCTCTCTCTCTCTCTCTCTCTCACACACACACACACACACACACACACACACACACACACTGCTAAATAATCAAACGGCCTTTGCGGAGTACTTCCTCCATTTTTTAATTCTTTCTACGAATCTGAGTCAGAGGCTTTTCCTTCAAATGTGTCTCCACCAGCCTGTCCACGATGACTTGTACGAGATCCAGCCAAATCAGACCCTGATGGGCACATTCCACGTGTCATCACACACTGAGCTGACTAGTCAATGCAGACTGGGGCAACCCGCCATCTGCTGCCTCCGCCTCTGAGCCCTGAGTCCCGGGGGCAGGAGGGGGTGGTTCTCGTTTCAGTTGTGAAGGCGGTGTGGGATGCGGGGAGCTCACGCCTAACACGGATGCAGAGCTCCATTCCCGGCAGCCTGTCACGCAGACTATCCTGGTCTTCTGACTCACAATTAAGTCATCCCCGTATCTGGCCTTGCCCTCCCCGGAGTATCGCCTGCAAAGTGGATAAGGAAATGCTCGCTCCAAGGCCTCTGATGAGCTGTCACTCAATAAAGAAGGCATGGCAGACTCCCAGGAATAAATGGCAGATCAGCCCCTCCCCCCCGGCAAGCGTGTGGTCATAAGTTCAAATCCCTGGCGCCCCACATGAGCTTTGCACAATCCTGACAACTCTGAGCTACGTGGGCTTGGCAGCTCTGCAGTCTCTGATTCTGGTACCAAAGAGAAGAGCACCCCCTGGGGAGCTCTGAGCTCACGGGCATTAGAGAAAGAGACAGAGACGTGCAGGCCAGCGCCTTCAGCCCCTCCCAAGCTGCCCCCGGTGAGCACCGCAACCTTAACTCTGTGCCCCAACTAACAGTCTGAGCCTTGGCGCCAGAACAACAGCACAGCAGGGAGGGAGCTGGTCTTGCACATGCGGACCTGGCTTCAATCCCCAGAATCCCTGAGCCCACCAGGAGTGATCCCTGAGCACAGAGCCAGGAGGACGCCTGGCTGTCACCTAAAACAATAAAACCAAAAGAAAAGAATAAACGGGGTGAGCACTGCAGCTGAGCACAAGAGCACTACCGCTGAGCGAGGGAACACTACAGCCAAGCACAAGCACTGCAGCCGAGCATGGGAGCACTGCAGCCGAGTGCAGGAACACTACAGCTGAGTGCGAGCACTGCAGCCAAGCACAGGAGCACTTCAGCCACGCATGGGAGCACTGCAGCCAAGCACAGGAGCACTATGACCTGCCGCATGACCCCCCTGCCCCACAGAACACCACAACTATAAAGATGTGCAAGGAGGACCCGGAGAGACAGGACGGGGTCCAGGGGCTCACCTGGCATGTGGCTTATTCCCAGTTTGAACTCCAGGTACTGTGTATGCCCCCCCTGCTCCCCGGACATGGCCAGGGGGTGCTCCTGAGCACAGAGCCAAGAACAGCATCGGGGCATCTCCAAGTGTGGCCCCAAGTTCCCAGGGGTGGGGCAACCATAAATAAAACAAAATAAATGTGCAAGGGTCAGGCCAGAGAGACAGGTCGGGGGGTCACGGACCCCAGTTTGATTCCCGGTTCCACTCAGTTTGATGCCCCAGCACCGCGGGAGCGATGTCTGAGCAACCGCCCACTACTTTTCGAAATAAGGGGAAGGTGAGAGACGAGACGCCCCAGAGGCGGCAGGAGCTGAGCCGCAGGGGAATGAGGGTAGTTGGAGTCAGGCGCTGAGAGGGACGAGCTGAGGAAGAAGCACGTTTCCCCTCAAGCCTGCAAGGATGTCAGGTCCGATTCACTCCGGAGAGACGAGAAAGCCTCTGCCGCATCCATCAAACTCGGACTGAGCTAGCCGGAAGAGACAGTTCCGACCCTTGCTCCAAAAACTCCCGAACAGCAGCTTTTCATGAGGATGAAGGCAGAGAGTCAGAGGCCATACCTGCAGCTGCAAAGAGGGGGCCGAGAAGGACTGGAGAGGCCTGACCACGCTCCTTCAATAAAGGAAAACACGGCTTCCTCACAGCCAGAAGCTACGGGAGCAAAGTATAGTCTCTTAGAAATGTCCGTGACAGGGCTGGAGAGATACCACAGCAGGTAGGGCGTTTGCCTTGCACGCGGCCAACCCGGGTTCGAGTCCCAGCATCCCATATGGTCCCCTGAGCACCGCCAGGAGTAACTCCTGAGTACAGAGCCAGGAGTAAGCCCTGTGCATCGCTGGACGTGACCCAAAAAGCAAAAAATAAAAAGAAAGAAAAATGTCTGTGACAGGGCCGGAGATATACGGCAGACAGGGCACCCACTGTGCACACGAGAGATCCAGGTTCAATCCCCAGCGCCCCCATGGTGTTCAATGAGGGGGGTGTTCAATCCCGAGCACAGAGCCAGGAGGGACCCCTGAACACCACTGGATGTGGCCCATCCCTCCAAAAACCAAAAACCAAAAACCAAACAAACAAAGAAAGAAATGTTCACGACCAAAAGTTGACTGATGTGACTTGAAACTGGGGATGGGGGGGCTGGAGCGATAGCACAGCGGGGAGGGCGTTTGCCTTGCACGCGGCCCACCCGGGTTCGATTCCAGCATCCCATATGGTCCCCCGAGCACCGCCAGGAGTAATTCCTGAGTGCAAAGCCAGGAGGTAACCCCTGTGCATTGGCCGGGTGTGACCCAAAAAGCAAAAAAAAAAAAAAAAGTGGGGTTATGGGGCAGGTAAGTTGAAAGGAAGTGTCCTTTTTACTTTTATTTTTCTTATAAGTCATTTCACAGAGAAGGAGGACACAAATAAATCCTCCCTTTTCATATCACAGCAATTTTTGCTTTATCCCGTAAGCCTAGCCACTAAAATCTATTCTTAGGAGAAACTGCAGTAGTCAGACGGGAAGGGAAGTTTCCTATTTTAAACAGTATAAGACTATCTTTGGAGACAGTTTTTTTTTTAAGATTGAGAGCCTGGGAGAGAGAGTCCAGTGGGTAGGGCACCTGCGATGCACACAGCAGACCTGGGTTCAATTCCCAGCACCCCGAGTAGTCCCTGAGCCCTCCAGGAGTGATCTGAGTGCAGAGCCAGGAGTAAGTCCTCAGGATTGCCAGGTGTGCCCCTCCCTCCCCCCCAAAAAAAGTGGCATGCTCAATTTTAAAATAAATGGAAGTCAAATCAGAGCTCATTTTTGTAGTTTTACGTAGTAAGTTTCCAGCATCTAATCAAAACTCAAAAACTGTAAAAGGGGGCTGGAGCGATGGCACAGTGGGGAGGGCGTTTGCCTTGCATGCAGCCAACATGGCCGACACAGGTTCGATTCCCAGCATCCCATATGGTCCCCTGAGCACCGCCAGGAGCAATTCCTGAGTATTGAGCCAGGAGTGACCCCTGGGCATCACTGGGTGTGATCCCCCCCAAAAAAAACGATAAAGGGGAACCAAGCAACAACATAGCATTTGCCTTGGACAAAGCCAACCCAGGCCTGATCTCCAGAATCCCGTATGGTCCCCCCGAAACCTGCCAGGAATGATCCCTGAGCATAAAGCCAGGAGTAAGCCCTGAAAACTGCCAGTGTGCCTCATCTCCTGCCAAAAAAAAAAGTAAGCCATAATAAATAAATAAATAAATAAATAAAATTGCAAGTATCTTAGCGGAAACCTGTGTGCTCCCTCTGGCCTTCACAGCTCGAACCACAACAAAGGGAAGGAGGCGGGCTGGGGGTGGGGGGCGGCTAAGGGAAGGGGAAAGCAGAAGGAAGCCCAGGACCGACCGAGGAGCTGCCCAGAGGGGCATAAAGGGACGCACCCGCCCCCGACCTCCCACACTCTGGCTCTCAGCACCCCAAGCCCAGCCCGGCCGCCACGAAACCCCATTAACCAGGAGGCAGTCACGCGGTGAGGAGCAGCGAGACCAGGAGAAAATGCCAACTTCCTCATGGGCTTGGGCCCGTTTAAAATTTTCCAGGGACTGGGGCGATAGGACAGTGGGTTGAGCATTTGCCTTGCACAGGGCCGACCCGGGCTCAATCCCTGGCATCCCATACGGTCCCCTGAGCACAGCCGGAAACAATTCCTTAGTGCAGAGCCAGGAGGAACCCCTGAGCATGGCCGGGCATGATCCAACAAAAAGCCTTAATTAATTATTAATTAATTAAAATTTCCAGTACGGGAGGCCGAATAGATGGGACAGTGGGTAGGGCACTCGCCATCCTCACAGCTCATCTAGTTTGTTTGTTTGTTTTTTTTTAATATTTTTGGGTCATACCCAGCGATGCTCAGGGGTTACTCCTGGCTCTGCACTCAGGAATTACTCCTGGTGGTGCTTGGGGGACCATATGGGATGCTGGGAATCGAACCCAGGTCGGCTGCGTGCAAGGCAAGTGGCCTACCAGTTGTGCTGTCACTCCAGCTCCACAGCTGATCTAGTTTTAATCCCAGGAACCTGCAATGGTGTCCTGAGCCTCACCAGGAGTGATCCCTGAGAACAGGAGTAAGCCCTGAGCACCACTCAAAAACAAAAATTAAAATTTTCAGCAGGAAATAAATAAATAAAATTTAACTTTTTTTCCTTTTTGGGTCACACCCGGTGATGCTCAAGGGTTACTCCTGGCTCATGCACTCAGGAATTACTCCTGGCTGTGCTCGGGGGACCATATGGGATGCTGTGAATCGAACCCAGGTCGGTCGCGTGCAAGGCAAATGTCCTACCCAATGTGCTATAACTCCAGCCCCACAGCTGATCTAGTTTTAATCCTAGGCACCCACAATGGTGTCCTGAGCCTCACCAGGAGTGGCCCCTGAGAACAGAGCCAGGAGTAAGCCCTGAGCACCACTCAAAAACAAAAATTAAAATTTTCAGCAGGAAATAAATAAATAAAATTTAACTTTTTTTCCTTTTTGGGTCACACCCGGTGATGCTCAAGGGTTACTCCTGGCTCTACACTCAGGAATTACTCCTGGCTGTGCTCGGGGGACCATATGGGATGCTGGGAATCGAACCCAGGTTGGTCACGTGCAAGGTAAACGCCCTACCCACTGTGCTATAACTCCAGCCCCACAGCTGATCTAGTTTTAATCCTAGGCATCCGCAATGGTGTCCTGAGCCTCACCAGGAGTGGCCCCTGAGAACAGAGCCAGGAGTAAGTCCTGAGCACCACTCAAAAACAAAAATCAAAATTTTCAGCAGGAAATAAATAAATAAATAAAATTTATTAATTAATTAATTTATTTATTATTATTTTGCTTTTTTGGGTCACACCCAGTGATGCTCAAGGGTTACTCCTGGCTCATGCACTCAGGAATGACTCCTGGTGGTGCTCAGGGGACCATATGGGATGCTGGGAATCGAACCCAGGTCGGTCACGTGCAACGCAAACGCCCTACCGGCTATGCTATTGCTCCAGCCCCTAAAAAAATTTTTTTCAACAGGAACTTTTTGCGAGTGTGTAGTAAACTCAGCTACACTTTGCCTGTGTGGGCCGTCCCTGGCCCCCATCTGTGCCCCGGTGAGTAACCTCATCAAAGGGAGCGCAGACCCGCGCAGCTCCAAGGCGCCGGGCCTGCCTGTGGCTGCAGGTTTAACGACGGCTCCAGGGCTTGGCTGAGGCTGGCATCAATCGCCTGGCGCGGGCGCCCCACTCCACGGTGGCGTCGCGGGGAGGATCAGAGGCGGCTCTGAAGTCACCCACTCTGGGTCTGGACTCAGAACTGCTGCACACAAGCCCTGGCACCTCCCGCGGTGATCGAGGCTGTGAGCAGAGCGCGATGGGAGGAGGGGGGTGTGGGGGGGGGGGTGGGGAGTGACAGGCATCGTGGTCTCCTCCGCCTTCCACCTTCCCCACCCTCAGGACTACTGACTCCAAGACCTTGGCGACGTGTGCAGGATGCCAAGGGTTCTTTGGCTCAGCCCAGTCAGAGCAAGCAAACGCCGAAAAGAAGGAAGACCGTTTCAGCTCGAGACCAGGGTCACGCTTAGCATCCTGTTGCCTTGGTGTGCTAGAGTCCTCGAAGAGTCACTGCTGACCTTAGTCACCGGCTGTGGCCCTCATGGCACAGTTGGTCACCGGGTTAGTGACAATGACCTAGAGTCCCTTGAGCCGGTGAGTGAGAACATGGCATAGATTTTTTATTTTTGCTTTTTGGGTCACACCTGGCGATGCACAGGAGTTACTCCTGGCTCTGCACTCAGGAATTACTCCTGGCGGTGCTCAGGGGACCATATGGGATGCTGGGAATCGAACCCGGGTCGGCCGCGTGCAAGGCAAACGCCCTACCCGCTGTGCTATCACTCCAGTCCATCAACTGTCAATCTTGACAAACTGTGGATCTTGGTCAGTGAGCACACCTGGGTTAGTGCTGCCCAAAACAAGACTGGAACAGCTTCTATCACTGACGTGGTTCGATTGAGCTACTACAAAGTTCTAGGGAGGGAACACTTCCAAAGCAGCCTGTCATCGTGAAAGCCAAATTCTTCAGCAGAAGAGCTGAGGAGATTAAGACAGTGGGAGGGGCCTGCATCCTGGTAGCTTTAAGTCACCTGAAAGAAGGATCATTAAATCTATACTACTTTTCTTTTCTTTCTTTCTTTCTTTTTTTTTTTTTTTAAAAAGGGCTGGAGCAATAGAACAACGGGTAGGGCGTTTGCCTTGCATGCAGCCAACCAGGGTTCGAGTCCCGAGTCCCAGCATCCCATCTGGTTCCTCGAGCACCGCCAGGAGTAATTCCTGAGTGCAGAGCCAGGAGCCAGGAGGAACCCCTGAGCATTGCTGGGTGTGACCCAAAAAGCAATAAATAAATAAATAAATAAAATAAAATAAAAAGGAAGCCAGTTTCAGGACTGAGTTTTACGTGAGGACTGCTTCCTTTTTTTTTTTTGTTTGGTTTTGCTTGGGGGCGACATCCATCAATACTCAGGGGCCACTCCTGGCTTTATGCTCAGAGGCCATCCATCCTAGCAGTGCTGGGGGCCAGAACCTGCATCTCCTGCGTGCAGAGCCTGTGCCCCCGTGCCTGAGCAAGTCTCGGGGGACCAGGAGCTGCTCAAACCAAGTCAAAGGGCTTTATTCCTGGCTCTACACTCAGGAGCGACCCCTCGCCATGCTTGGAGGACCATACACAGGGTATGGAGAGCAAACAGGGGTGAAGCACATGCAATGCTTGCTCCTGGGCGCTGAGTAATCACCGAACACCCTTTGGCCATGGTGAGCCAGGTGAGAGCCCCCCGCCCCTCAATCCCACACGACAGAACAGTGACCCTGACTTGGCTAAGCCCAAGGGATGTTCAACATTCAGAGATTAGTCCAGCTTCTGGGGCCAGAGTGATGATACAACAACGGGAAGGCACTTGCCCTGCACACAGCTGACCCAGGTTCGAATCCTAGTGCCCCATATGGTTACCCGGCACTAGCAGGAGTAATCCCTGGGTATTGCTGGATGTGGTCGGTGGGGGGGAGAGAGAGAGAGAGAGATCCAATTTCTTACCTAAAGCAAAGCCTACACTTAGGCGTCTACCTGCCTGTCCTGACCTGTACTGGAGCAGCAGCTGGACAGGGCAGCGGAGCCAGTGGCCCTGGACTCAAGTTCCAATCCCACCTTTGGTGTGCTCTGTGACCTCAGGCAAGACACTGAGCCTCTCTGGGCACCATTTCCCTCACCCTTAACAGGGTCATGGCGCAGGAGAGAGAACTAAAGGGCTGAGCACAGGCCCTGCATGCAGGAGGCCGGGCTCGATCCCAGCACCGCGTGGTCCTTGGAGCACCCCTCGGCGTGACTTCTGAGCACAGAGTCAGGAGCAGCTCTTACGCACAGCCAGAGGCGGTCTCCAAACCTAAAAGTAAATAAGTTTCCCAATCTTCTGTCGGTTTGTAGGGGGTGTGGGTGGGGGGCGGGGTCATACCTGCAGTAT